CCTCTCTTCCAAAGAGTAGCATAGACAGAAATGGTGATCTATGAGTTTATCTCATTGTTTCCAAAAGGCTAGTAGAAAATAAATATTTTCTCATGACAAAGTCCATTAGATATCAGATTCTTTACTTTTAGCTGGAATCATATTACTTAGTTAGAATCAAAGATTAAGTTATGATGTCTTTTTTTTTTTTTTTTTTTTTTTCAGAAAAATGGGGAAAGAAATTATTACTTAAGAAATATACTTTGGGAGTGAGGATGTAGCTCAGTAGTAATAGTAGTACTTGCCTAACATAAACAAACAAGATCTTGGGTTATATGCAGGGCCTTGTGTTAATCCCAAGTACCAGAAAATAAAAAGAAATAAATATACTTTGTTTGGCAGATAGCATAATTTAAAATAGAGTATTCAGGAAGGGTAGGAAAAATAGCAACAACTCACTTTGTTTAGAAAAAATAAAAGCCATGCTTTAAAGGAGGATCCCCTTAAATCAGTGCTTCTGTAAAATACCATTTCCAGCGGCTCAAAAATTCCAACAACAATTCTATTTCTCAAATATTTTACAGAATCTACTCAGCATTCCTTTCTTTAAAGAACTGCCACTCTGCCACTTCCCCTACCTCACATGGTCCTGTAAGGGACTGGAAATTGTAGCATACACTTTCAACTACTCTATATAAATCTGTAATCCAATCTGTGCCAATATAATTCTCCATCTCCACCCATACCCCGGTCATATTAGACTCTTGAACAAAAATATTGAGGGATGAAAAATGAAAAGAATCATCTGAGAGAGCCAATAAGAAAAAGCCAATGCCCTAATCTCTGCTACTGGTATCTCTAAAGTTATATTTGTTCTAGGTCCTTCCTCAGTTCAGCCTGTTCAGTTCTTCCTTACTTAATTACTTAAGGTTGTATAATAAGGAAATTGACTAGTCTTCACCCTCCATTCCTGAGAGGTAACTACTAAACTCTTAGAATTTCCCCAGTGACAGGGGTATCTTTCTTATTCATGGTGGGCCCCTTGGATCACGCTTGAATTTATGCTAATGAAATGCCTTGGAATGGGACATTTGTCACTAGAAAGACTAACCAGGTGATTAGAGGGTTGGGGCTTTGGCTAATACCAGTTCACCCTTTAAGAGAAAAAGGAGGCTAAAGACTGGGTTCAATCACAAAGCCAACAATTCAATTATAACTATGTTTAAAAAACAAACAAAAAAAAACTTTAGGGGCCAGGGTTGTGGCTCAACAGTAGAGTGCTTTCCTAGCATGCATGAAGCACTGGGTTCAATCCTCTGTCTACAACTAAAAAAAAAAAAAAAAAAACTTTAAAAAAATATGGTGGACACCAAAGTCAACGGAGCTTTCTGAGTGGCAAACACATAGATGTGCTGGGCGGGCAATGTTTCCTGTCCCATCTACCAGGAGAAGACATAGAAGTGCCAGATCTCAACCTATGAGTCTCTTTTTTTTTTTTTTGGTTAGTCCTATTTTGTAGCCTTTATAATACTAAAAACAGGGCTTTTTTGAGTTTTGAATAGCTCTAGCAAATTATAGAACCTAGGAGGTCTCTGGGAACTCCCAACTTTGTGGCCAGTTGGTAAAAACTGCAGGAGACCTGTGAATTTCCAAAGCTTATGGCTGATGTCTGAAGTGAGGATAGTTTTGGGACTATACCTTAACTTGTGAATCAAAAGTGTTTCTCTAATCTCTCTTTGCTTTATTTTTGTAGTTAGTAAATGAAGATAACCACAGTATCTATACGTCATAAAGTTTTTATAAGAAATAAATGAGTTAATACATATAAAAAACTTAGAATAGTGCCTAGGACATATTAAATATTATACAAATTTTAGTTGCTGTTTTATTTTGAAACAGGGTCTTGCTAAATTGCTTAAACTTGCCTTGAACTTATGATACTTCTGCCTCAGCCTCCCAAATCACTGGGATTACAGGCATGCTTTATTTGTGTTTGCAGTCTGGGGATTGAACCTAGGGACTCACATATGCTAGGTAAGCACTCTACCACTGAGCTACTTTCCCAACACTCCCATTTTTTTTTTAATTTTTATTTTGAGACAAGGTATAATTAAATTGCTGAGACTGGCCTTGAATTTGTAATCCTCCCACCTTGGCCTCCCAAGTAGCTGAGATTACAGATATGCTTGCTCCACTGTACCTTTCCTTGAATTGTTGTTTTTATTATAAAAATCCAGAGGTGGTTAATACAGAGATTAGCAAGCTTTTCTGTTTAGATCTAAATAATAGAGAAAAGGTTGGCTTCCAACATTAGTCAGAAAATGTTGACAACATTAATCACATAGAGGAGACTGACATTAGCCAGATAATGTTCTGAACACAAATGATTGCTGCTGATATCTACATCATCTAGCTAAACTCAGACCAGTCAGTTTCAGCCAGTGCCAGAATATTACATGTTTTTTGTAGCCTGAAATTGTCACTAGAGAAATTAGGGGACTTGTTCTGAATAAGGAGGCAAGTTATTGGTAAGAACAGAATACAAAAACAATCTTAATTCTAGTTTATCAAATCACTAGGAATAACACATGGTAAGCCAATGCTAAAAACACTTTTCCTATCAGCTGTTAACTACATTACTATGCATTCAAATGTTTTTCTCTGCTCCCCTCCTCCAAAACCTCACTCCATTGTCTTCCATTTTCCTGTAATTTAGAATATACTGAAAGTGTTCCAAATAGTTGCTGAGTCCAAAAATAATGTTCTTACCAGAAAATTGCTTGGAGCTGTTTTCTAGTATTATGATTCAATCCCTTTATTTTTGCTTCCTCTTGGTCACCTTCTCTTCCCAGCTACTTCTCTATGAGTTTTTAGAAAAAGCTACGAATGCTCTCTCTGCCATCTTTCATTCTAAGTTCCTACTTTAAAAGTCCACTCTTTTTTTTTTTTTTTGAGTTGTAGTTGGACACAATACCTTTATTTTATTTTTATATGGTGCTGAGGATCGAACCCAGGGCCTCACACATGCTAGGCGAGCGCTCTGCCACTGAGCCACAACCCCAACCCCAAAGGTCCACTCTTAAAAATTAGGTACCCTATCTTTATATCACTGGAGAAAAAAATCAAAATTAAATGGTACCGATGGAAGATCTTTCCTGGCAATATTGGTCTAATTCCAAAGTTCATATCACTACTTCATCTTTTATTAGTAGACAGTTTGGGTTGCTCAGGAACTATTAAAGAAACCCCCACCCCCCACATACACACAAGGACTTCAGCTTCTGAAGATTTCCAGGAAGCTCTTTCCTTATGCTCCTTCTAAATTGACAAAACAGAATTAAGAAGCTTGTCCATCCCAGAACCAGGACTCCAGGTCTTCCTGCTTCAAATCTAACACTCTCTACCTACATTATAGATGAGCCCTTCCAGATCTAAAATTCCATAATCCTAGGTAAGAATTTAAATAAAAATAGAAACTGCCTCATTCCTACCAAAAGTAGTCTTTTCTACCACCAGATCAGTGCTTTCAACCAAGATTTTAAGGAAAAGCATTGGCATAGAGATCAGAAGGCCAAAATTGAAGTCCTGGCTTTACTAAATGCATAATAATGAACTAGCGATTTTATAGGCCAAGGCCTAAGGTTCCTCATCTGAAAACCCTTCTTAGGTTTATCATTATATCTTAGGAATGTCTCCCAAAGTCTCATGTGTTTAGAGGACTTTGGGGAAGTGATTGGATCATGAAAACTCTGACCTCATCAGTGGATTAATCCATTGGCTGAATGGATTACTAGGAGTGGGACTCAATTAAAGGAAGCAAGTCACTTTTGGCTACCTGCGGAGGGTTTAATCTTCTCCCTGCCCTCCACACTCCACCCCTGCTTCCCAGCTAATATGAGTTGGGCAGCTTTCTTCCACCAGGCCCTTCCTCCGTGTTTCTGCCTCAGAGCTAGCCAACCATCAAATAAAACCTCCAAAAACATGAGCCAAAATAAATCTTTCCTCCCTAAGTTGTTTTTGCCAGGTGTTTTGGTCACAGAGACAAAAGGCTGACTAACACAAGAACCCATGCTAAGGACCCTGTCAAATCTCACACAAATAGACATATTCCTTTACACAATACTCTGAAAATACTACAGAAAAAAAAAAATGGTAGTCATGATTAAGCAGTTTCATCATATATGAAAAAGATCTAAAGTTTTCATTAATGAATTCAATTCAAATCAGTAGAGTAATGTGACTTCTAAAGGGACCAGTACCTAATTAGACTATGTTAACAGATGAACAGGGTTCAGAACTGAGGTGACAATCCAGATCAATTCTGTAAGAATTTGGGAGTCTGTGTCCAACTCCAGGATCTAAGAAACACGTTCACAAAATTTTTTATGGGCAGAAAACCAAGGTATCTGAGGAGAAGGACAAGGATAAAAACCAAGATATCTAAGGAGGGGCTGGGGATATAGCTCAGATGGTAGAGTGCTTGCCTTGCATACACAAGGCCCTGGGTTCAATCCCCAGCACCCAAAAAAAAAAAAAAGAAGATATCTGAGGAGGAGGACAAGGCTGAGAAAATGTTTTCTCAAAGAACTAGGACTACTCAACCTGGAAAAGAGAAGACTCAAAGGAGAATCCAACTTTTACTTTGGGACTAAGTGGGAGCGACAGAAGAAAGAGCTTGCCTCAAGAGACCAGCAAGCTCTTTATCTCTAGAGATGATGCATCAGAAGCTAGGAGATTCCCATGGGGTGGGAATAAGGAGAGAAGTAGAGAATAAGCTAGAGTTCAAAAAACATTCTGACTCTGGAGAATCTTTCCCAGTTCCCAGCATAGTGACTACTTAGTCAGTCTTATTCAATGACTATATATAGAATCATTTCAATAATTTGCTTTTTAACTAAGTATTTTATGTTCTTATCATACTAGTATTTTATGTTCCTATTTCTTTAAGTTCAATTTGCTATCTTCGTCTCTCTTCTCTGAGCCTTCTAACAACTAGGAATGACAACAAGGCTGCCTATTACCTTCTGAGGACTTCCATGCTTTCCACAGGTCCTCCACGCTGATGAGCTTGTCCTCACCATGGAAGGTGCTGTGCTTCACTGTTGGGTCATGGTAATTGAGGTCTTCCCTCAGGAACTGCAAGGGGAAAGCACACAAGTCACAAGAGATCCCTGGGAGCCAACACACCAAGATCTCCACTCAAGTCATTTGCCTCGAGCTATCCACAGCATATTCCATTTACCCAATGCATGTGTATTATATCACTCATGTATCTTTCTTTGTGCATATGTCTTAGTTGCCATTGAGACTACATTTTCTTGTAATATGTTTCACTTGAAAAAAATAAATATGAATTAGAAATTCTTTCCTCATACTGTTTTTTGAATTATGGGAAGATTAATGACAGTTAACTGGAATTTAATAAGCTGGAAGAGGGAAGAAAGAATAGAAAGAATAATTAACAATTTTTGAGTACTTCTTTATATACTAAGAAATATTCTAAGAACTTTCACAATATTTTCTCATCTAATCTTCACAGCCAATGAATTATCACACCTATTCTAGAAATAAGAATAGTAACATTCTCAAAGATAATGCAATTTGTACCCAAATCATATTAGTTACTTGCTGTGATGATTTTAAAACATCCACAAATTCTCAAATTGTCCCCAAATTCCTTGACAATCCTCCTATCAAAGGTGGATTCCACTCCCATTGAATATAAGCTAACATTAGTGATTCATTATTATGGTTTAGATAAGCACCACTCAAAGGTCCATGTGTTAAAGGCTTAGTTTATAAAGTGTCACTACTGAGATGTGATGCAATATTTGAAAGATCCTTAGGTCACTGAGGGCATGCCATCAAAGGGAATTGTAGGCCTCCAGCCTCCTCCTCTTTCTCTTTACTTCCTGATTTGGTGATAAGTCATTTTTGCTCCACTACTCAGAGACCCAAAGAAATTAGGATACTCAACTTTGGATTGGAATCTACAGGACTGTCAGCCAAAATACATCTTTCCTCTTTATAAGTTAGTATACACACACACACACACACACAAAAAAAAAAAAAATTTAGTCAGCTTTTTCACTGTTGTAGCCAAAATATTTGAAAAAAAAAAAAATTACAGGAGGAAAAGTTTACTTTGGTCCTCACAGTTTCATAGTTCTCAGTTCATAGATGACCAACTCCACCACTCTGGGTTCAAGGTGAAGCAGAACATCAAGGCAGAAGGGTGTGGCAGAGGAAAGCAGCTTAGGACATAGCAGAGAGAAACTGCTCCACTCAGTAGGGACAAAATATATACCTCAAAGGCACACCCCCCAGTGATGCAACTCCTCCAGCCATACCCTACCTGCCTACAGTTACTACCTACAGTTAATTCCTATCAGAGGATTAATGCACTGATTGGGTTAAGACTCTCATAACCCAATCATTTTACATCTAAACTTTCTTGCATTGTCTTGCATGCACACGAGTGTGTGTGTGTGTGTGTGTGTGT